TTGATCTGGATTCTCCCATGGGAAGCATGGCGGATATATGCATAAACATGGCTCTCTCAGATTTCTATTCAGAGCATCCAAATTATCAAACAAGATTGCGGTTACACACTAAAGATGCTAAGAGTTTGCTAGAGGCTAATTTTGCAGGTATTTTCTTATTCCTACTGATTAATTTCATTATTTGCATACTACTTGAGAAGTTAATTGTATTTTTTATGTCTGTTTTGTAAATCTTCTATTCAACGCAACCAACACCCTATTTGAAAACTTGAAGTGCTAAAAAAATGTCATATATTTATTTAGTTAAATCTACTAACCTATAATTTTCATTAGGTTGTGTGAACCTTTCTACTTGTTTTTTGGAGTTTCTTCCCTCCAAGACGGAAGCACGAGGCTGATGATGCCAAATTTCTTCTATCTGACTTAATAATCCTAGAAATTAGGTCGTGTAATCAACTCATATATACATTGACCATGACTTCGAAAAAAACAATTTCGGTGATTTAAGTACATTTTAAATGATAGTCAAATATCATAATTTTGCTCTATGGAAATATTTAAGATTTGTCAAAGCCTCACTTGTTGTGAGAATAGATTTTGTAATAGCGATTTTTTAAATAATATCTGGTAAGAAAGTAAGGAAATTTTTTGAATTTGAAAAAAAAAAAAGTATATAAACGATGATGCTCAAACAGACGCTTTATTCAATCAATAACGTGGTTGCATATGTATAGATAATAAATAAATTAATATATAATTTTTGAGTTTCACAAAAAAAAAATAATAATAATAATAATAATGAATATCTTGTTTCTTTGATTTATCAATTTATTAATTACGATTTTATTGTTTAATATTTTCTGACTGTTTTTGTGTAATTCATAAAAGCATCTATTTTTTCAATTTGAAAACTACCAGTGGGGAATGAATGGTTTATTTTATACTGCATAGAAACAACTAGAATATCGCGCTATTCATTCTTTTAGGTGAATGAAAAGGTTATGGATGCATTCTGCATAAAAGGTAACAATAAAATTTTGAAGTAAGCTTAGGACACTACCTCACTCACAAAATATATATCCCCTATCCTTCTGGAATCTTGACGATGAATCATAATGTTTCGATATGTTATGCAGTTCTTGACTTACTTAAGCATGAAGAAGTGCATGGAATCTTGGGGTCACAGGTCGCAACAGAAGACAAATTCCTCGCAGAGCTAGGTGGAAAAGTTAATGTGCCAGTTATTTCTTTCACCGCCAGAAGTTCAACTCTTCCCTATTCACAAAACCGCTTCTTTATTAGGACTACTCCAGATGATATGTATCAAGCTCAAGCTCTCGCAGCCATTTGCCAAGAATTTCAATGGTCTGAAGTAGTGATTTTGTACGAAGACACGGGATATGGCAATCAATTTCTTTCACATCTGAATAAGGCATTCCAAAAAATTGATATTGGGATAGCATATATGAGTGCCATCACTACATCATCTGAGGATAGTAGAATATTAAAAGAACTCAAAAAGCTTATGGCAAAGCAAACGAGGGTATTCCTGGTGCACATGAATCCATCACTTGGTTACCAGCTATTTTCTTGTGCCAAAAAGGCAGGAATGATGAGTGAAGGGTATGCTTGGATTATTACTGATTATTTATCCAACTTCTTAAGTTCCACGGATTTTGTAGCCCGTGATTCAATGGAAGGTGTTTTGGGTATAAGGCCCTATGTATCCTGGTCGGAAAAGCTTGACAGTTTCCAAGAAAGGTGGAAAAGGAATATGGTTCTGAAGAATAGGGCAGGTTCAGTTAGGGACTTAAATATCTATGGTTTGTGGTTGTACGACACAATATACTCCTTAGCAATAGCAGCAGAGAAGATTGGGCTAGTGAACTCTAGCTTCTTGTATGTGAACACCAGCAAAAATGGAACAGATACTGCAAACTTAAAAATCTCAGCATTTGGACCAAGACTTCTCAACGAATTGTCACACACAAAATTCAGAGGCTTGGTCGGAGAATTTCAATTGATTAATGGGCAACTGAAACCTTCAGCCTTTGAGATATTTAATGTAATTGGAAATGGAGAGAGAACAGTGGGATTTTGGACAGTGGATAAAGGAATATCCAGAGAATTAAGTTCAACTGGTGTTCCAACACACTCCTCATCCACAAAAAGTCTCAAAAAAGCCATGTGGCCTGGAGATTCAGTCACACATCCAAAGGGCTGGGCCCTTCCTGCAACAGGAAAACTGAGAGTTGGGGTTCCCGTGAAACATGGATTCATAGAATTTGTAAATGTAAAAATAGATGCTGCCGCAAATCGTACAAATGCAACTGGTTTTTCGATTGATATCTTCTTGGCAGCATTGCAGTTGCTACCTTTCCCTACAAAATATGAATTTTATCCTTATAATGTCAGCGAAAATTGTAACTCGAGTTATGACGACATGCTTCATGAGATACCTCAGGTACTTCAGTCTTCATCTCATTATTCAATTATCAATGTTAATCATAGCTCCAATAAAACTTCATGCTTAAAAATAATAATTATATCACCGTTTTTTTTTTTTAAATAGGCATTTGACATTGTGGTGGGAGATACAACAATTTGGGCTCCACGAGCTGATCATGTTGATTTTTCGTTACCATATTCTGAACGAGGAATCGTTCTAGTGGTCAAAAATAAGAAGCCATTTGACACGTGGATTTTTGTTAAGCCTTTGCGGTGGGACCTTTGGCTGACGATCATTGCCGCCTGCATTTTGATGGGAATAGTGCTTCGAATATTGGAACACAGAGTACCAAACACAAATGAAGAGTCAGTTAGGCCACACAGGGAGAGACTTCTAACGACTTACTGGTCTCCAATAATAGCTCTTGCATTTCCTGAAAGTAATTTTTAAATTATGCTTGGTTTTATAATTTCCTTTGTGCCTGGAACCATTAGTTCCTGTGTCTGTGTCAAGTGGAAAACTGACCATCCGTGCCCTACAAGCTGAGTAATATCTAGCCAAACTACTGAATATTTGCTCGACACCTAGAACGCTTAACAAATTTTTCAATCAATGCTTTGAAAAATAAGCTTACATCAGACTTTTTTTATTACTCTTGACAGGGAATATGGTGGCTAATACCTGGTCAATAATTGTATTGGTATTTTGGTTGTTTATGGCATTCATCCTCATGCAGAGCTACACAGCAAACTTATCAGCTATTCTGACAGTAGATCAATTAAATTTTGTTTTATCTGAGGAAATTTATGTGGGATATCAGGAGGGTTCCTTTATGAAATTTTTTTTGAAAGAGCGACTACACATAAACGAATCAAGGCTCAAAAAATATTCAACAGTTGAAGAGTACCATGATGGAATGACTAGAGGAAGCCAACGAGGAGGCATAGATGCCATATTTGATGAGATTCCTTACATGAAGATTTTCCTCAAGAAATACGATTCTCAGTACAAAATAGTTGGACCAATATACAGGACGGAAGGATTTGGCTTCGTAAGTATTCTTGTTCTCTATCTTATGCACAATCGTTTCCTTTCATAAATTCAATAGAATAAGAACTTGGAAGCTATCAACTCACATAAGGTACAAGTAAAGTCTAAATCCGAAATTGGAGTAGTTGTAGCGTTCAACTATAAAAATCAATGTACTATCTAGGCAAGAGAGAGAAAACTGTGTCATAATTGCAATCATATTTGAAACAGTGGCTGACGGAAACTCTTAAGTTTCGGGCATGCACCATGTTTAATTTACTCCTTTTATGCCAAGATTGAAAAGCACGATTAAACGTAGTTTTATTTGCTTTGGTACAGTTTCAGATCCTGAAAACCTTTATGATAAAATTAAAATGTCCGGGGAAACATTTTTCAACCCATATTTTAACAAAATCTCAGACGAATACACTATTTTCAGATGGCCACCTGAATAACCTGAATCATTTTAAGACAAACAACCTCCTTTCATCAAAATAACTGATTAAGTCTGATGTAAAACTATGCACTTCCTTGTGCTGTATATTTTCGTTTCCAGTGAAGTTTTTTCTGATTTTAATTATTATGCATCACTATTTAGGCATTTGCTGCTGGCTCTCCCTTAACTGCGAATTTCTCAAAGGCCATCTTAGCCGTTACTCAAGGTCCAACCATGACATCTATTGAGCAAACACATTTCGGACCTGGATACTCTTCTGAAGATCCACTTTCCCCAACAATCTCGCAACGGACTTCTAGTCTTACTTTTTTTGACTTCGGAGGGCTCTTCATTATTGTAGGGTCAGTTACTGTGTTTGCTCTACTCTGTTCAGAGACATTAGTTGGGCGAAAATTTACTTCCCTAACTGCTCAGTGTAGCCAAAAGTGCTTATGCTTTATGTCATCAAAATTTCATTCAACGCGGAATGTTGCAGAAGAAATTCATGCATCTGTCCCAGACATCGGTGCTACTCCTGGTGAAGGTGGATATGCAATTGTCGTTGGAGAAAACCCAAGTGGAAGTGAGGGAGAAATTTGTGATCCGGGCCAGAACAATGAGGGTGCTTCTGCTGAAGATCAAGAAGTAAAAACTGACAACACTGAAGAGAGGAATTCCATGGCACATAATTGACGAAAGTGTGTCTGTTTTTTTATGATGAAATCAGTATAACTGCATTGCTCCATCAATACTACTTCAATTTTCTCTACCAGTATCACTGCTATTGGAGTTTATGAATCAAAGAGTGGAACTCACCGGATTTAATTGAATCTAACCGGTTTTAACACTCCTAAGCGTTTAGTTCAACTCACCGTATTTTCACTCAAAGTACCGGATATACACTTGGCTTACCGCATATGAAAGGAACAT